TCCTATGAGGTATGTATAGTTGAAAGGGATGGATTTTATATTTTTTCTATTTTTATCCATTTTTTACTGTACTCCTCATGTTTGTTCGCTATGTAATATTCCTCCTAACAATTCCAGGATATGAAAGGAGCATATTTTTTGGCATAGTTATTGGCACCTACTATGATTTTTTAAATTGAATAAAAAAAAAAAGGAAAAATAATTGAACATAACTCATCCTTTCATCACAGCCATCTCCTTCATTATTCCTCCCTCACCTCACCTCACATACTAGACTGCAACTGATGTCTGTCCAAAGAAGTGAAATGCTGCTCAGACATTCCAAGATTTTGAACAAGCTTGGGTTTGACTCTGCAGTTTTGGGAATCCATGTGTCATTCAAGGCACTTTCATATCTAAGGCAAATCACTCTGTCCCCTTGACTTTCCCAAAGTCAGAGATGGTAATGGAGTACAACACTGAGGCACTCACTCTTTTCAATGGATGAGAAGAGAGATTTCTAAGGGGCCCTAAGGGACCTAGATGATAACCTCCTGCTGAAAGTCAGTGGGAAATGGATGGTTGCAATCTCTGTTGGTAAACTTTACCCTTGAGAGAGACAAGAGGAACAGACAAATCAGATGGAGTGAGGCTACCAGTAACTATTGGACATCAGGCTGGGAGCAATCCAACACAGTTATCATGAATCTTTCAATATCCGTGTCTGTTTATGGGCTTAGTAGAGTGAGAAAGCAGCTAGGGACTTCCCAGAATACTGCATAAATCCTTTAACACTGAACAATATGCCTTATCCTTTTATTTTTCTCCAAGAAAGCCCATTTTTACCTATGTAAGAGATTTCTTCTGACATTACACCCCTGTTATGATTGGTGGCAATAACACAAGGAAGCACAGAAGTTTAGGAAAGGACTGCTGGGTTTGTAAAAAGCTATAGTGAATCCAGTCAGAAGAAAAAAAAATGAGCTCATCTTTAACTGATGGGAAGGTGTTTGTTACAGTACTCCTTGAAACATTTCACATTGTCCTGTTTGCAGAAACCCAACTTTCCTTGTGCCCTTCCCCTTCCCCTTCCCCTTCCCCTTCCCCTTCCCCTTCCCCTTCCCTTCCCTTCCCTTCCCTTCCCTTCCCTTCCCTTCCCCTTCCCCTTCCCCCTGGTTCCCAGTTTTTAGTTTCATCTCATTAGTCCTAGCCGTGCCACACTAAATCAACAGTGCACTACTAAATACAGCTTTCTGCAGATAATTTTTTAATCTCTCAGGGAACTTGGCATCATGTCTTTCCTGTGTTTATTTTTATAAAGGGAGCTTGTTCAACTGGCAACGCTGTAAAACCATTGAGAGAGTCTGAGCACTCCTGCTATAGATCACCAGTCCTTGCTTCATAGGATATCCTGCTACACTGCCCTCCCAAAATATCAGGGCCAGCAAAGAAAAACGAGTGCTTTGCATAGCAAATAGTTTTTATGGCTTACAGTTAATAGGCCTTACTATTAATTGGCAGAATTACAACTCCTGTTTAGTTGATGAAAGTAGCTGTCTTGAAAAGTTATTAGGCTTCCTTTTGTTCTTGCTTCCCTGCATTTTTTTTCTCAAGATTGATTACACAGTGACTCTTTGAACTTATGTTGAATGTTTCCTTTGAGGATCTACTTGCATCTTGGTTTCATATCCTTTGTTAGCCTTTCAGTATTCCAGCAATCCAGGGATAGTAGAAGGAAAACAATAAAGAAAAAGCAAAACAATTAATAGTGTCAAGAAAGTATTCCTGAAAAATGTGAGTCACTTGGTAGTATCAGTAACACTGAAAATAAGAATAGTATGAGAAATACATATGCAGTCTTGTCAAGGCTAAACAGTTTCGTGATAAAGGAAAATAAACTCCCTTGACAGAGATGTAGTAATTCAGAGAGCATCTTAGGTTGTGCAGTGTCTGTATCTGCTGGCTATCCTAAATCAATTACTTCAGTCAAGACATGGTTCCCCTTTCTCTGGGGTGCGGCTGTGGATGGAGGGAAAGCAATTTATTTCAAAAGCTGATTCAGCAAAAAACTCTGCAGGGGCCTATCAATGTACCATTAATAATCAGAGATGCTGTAATGATTATCAGAGGTGTTGTAAATCATTTGCACAACACTATTTATTTTAACATTATTCAGCAATTTTGTGTTTCCTGAAAGACAAAAAGGTTTTCATATCATGAAATATGCTCTCCAGCAGGAAGCAACAAGCTGTATAACAGGCTTTCAAAATATTGTTTCTTCTTACGCTGTATCTTTTTTTTTGTGTGTGGGAAATTAACTATTCAAGAAGAGGAGATCCTTATAAATTTGATGTACACCAGTGATATTATATGCAGACATTAAGAAAATGTCATGCTCACTTCCACTAACTCATCTTGGTTTCAGTCCCCAATAACCCTCCCTTTTCATTACCCTCTGAAGTCTGGTTCTTCCTTCAAGTGAAATTAATAGAAGATCAATCCTGGATAACTCTTGGTGTGCCAGTCCAAACCTCTATTTACTGCATTCAGAGGGCTTATCTGAAGCACAATTTAACTTAAAAATAATATTGGTTCATACAAATGCTGATTCAATTATTCCTTGCATTTCATTTAACCACCTTTCTTTTTCTCTTAATGAAAACTCAATACCAATTCAACACGACTTGTTTGGCAGATTTGCCTTATTTGCAAATTCAAAAGCAAGGTCAAAGCAGCAGTAATAAAGCTGTGCCTAAACTCCTTTCTTACAAGATCTAGATGTTATTAGAAATGGCATTAAAAATGTCATGAGTACAGAGGAGAAAAATGAAAGCTAAGAAATAATCCAGGAGACTGGGAAGCAGCCGGAATGAAATAAATGTTAATTAATACCTTGCATCACACAGGCTACATACTTGTATTGATGGAGCAGAAAAAAACTATTGGTAGACATAGATCTGTTTGAAATTAATATTTTTAAAACCTCAAGATCCCATTTTCAGCATGAAAAAAGGACCACTGAATGAGTATAAGTGCAGCTGTATTTTAACAATAGCAAGTAATTTTCCTTCTGTTTTGTTTTACAGTCTTTGAAGAGTTTCCATTTGCTGCATATGTATTTCAGGAAAAATACTCTTCTTTTGGACAGAGAACATTTTTTTCTGAAAACCTTGAGACTATTTTGCTCTTAGGAGTTTTGTCCCACAAAGCCCTAATACTGAGTAAAAAGCCTGCTGCTTCCTTCTTTTAGGGTTATGTTACTTAAAGACTTCTTTTCTGTTTACTTTGCTAGTGATCATAAAACTGTCACCCTCAGCAGTTCAAAGCTGGTGCTTTTTGCTGTGTAATCTGGAGTGATTACAGCAGTGGTTCTCAGCTGTTGCTTCTTACCACGACTGACACAAGTACCTCAAATGCAAATAATCTTTTCTGAGAATTATAGGAATCTCACATACTGAGTTTTTGTGGGGGTTTTTTTTGGGTTTTTTTGGTTTTTTTTTTTGGTTGGTTTTTTTTTTTTTTTTTTTTTTGGTGAAAAGGAGGTGCTTATGAGCCTGCAACTTTGCTGTAAGGCAAGATGTGGGTAACTGAAGTGGTTCATCTGGGTTGAGCTCAGTAAACTTTTGGTTGCCAATTGACTGGAGATGGTGTTTAAAAAAACTCTACGTTCAGCTGTGATTATTTTTATTGACTAAATAGTATTTATTCAATATGACTCCAGGGAGAGTGGCTGCCCCTTCAGCTTTCCACAGCCTGAGACACCACTGCCTTACGGGGTCCAAGTGTCTGCAGCGGAGCAGCCCGAGCCCTCATGGATGGGGCAGGCTGCTGAGCTGGTTAGATCGGCTGCTGCCCATCAGTGCCTGCTCCCCTTCTGTAGAGATGATTCCATGATCATGGGGGTCTTCCTGACCTCTTTGTTCCATGTAAAGAGACTCTATCGATCTGGGCAGCCTGCTGAACGGGGCAGAGCAGCTGGTCGTCACCTTCATGAGCTCGCTGGTTTTGGGTGTCCTGTGTTAGTCGTCACGAGTTATTGAAGTGAAACCGCCCGGGCCATCAAAATAAATTCAGCAGTTGTTCAACACACCCTGCCCCTCCAAATCGGATTCACGTGATGCACTCCCACCTACTTTTTTCCTAAAGGCTTTGCGGCGCGCAACAAAAGCCCCTGCCGCAGGGCCAGCCACAAAGGCCGGCAGCTCAGGCACAGCTGGAAGGGGCACAGCGCTGGGGCTCGGCCGGCAGCTGCAGCCCCGCAATGCACCTGCCTAGCGGGGAGAGAGCCCGTCTGGATAAACAGGGATCTCTTGGGGGCCCGCATGCCCAGGATCTGGATTCAGCAGGAATTGGGTCGCAAGGGCAAGAAAAGGGCAGCGGGGGTGGGTGTGCTTGTGGTAGTCGGGAATGAGGGCAGAAGCGCCGCAGAGGCCTCTTGCGGACAGAAAAGGGGCCGGGGCAGTGGGTGGGTGACAGCACCGACCCCGCGGGCTACGTGAGGGAGGCGCCAGATGGCCACGGGGACTGCGAGGCACTGGGTACCGCTGTCCCGCAGCCGGGGCCGGCCGGAGAAAGGACGGCTCGGGCACTGAGGGAGAGGCGGCTGCTCCCGAGGGACGCGTCAGGGAGCCCCAGGACAGCCGCCACACCCTGGGCGCTTGGGCGGCCTCACGGGGTCAGGCGGGACCCAGGTCAGGGCGGGCAGGGGTCGAAGCGCCGGGTATGGGCCCGCCAGCTGGGAGAGAGATGAAAGGATGAAGGGAGGGAGGAGGGACGGAATCGCCTTCCCTCGCTCCCAGCCGCACGCCAGCCCCAGGTAGGGGCCGATGATTGACAGCTGACACCGCCCCCCGGCGCTCTCATTGGCCGTTCCCTATGCCGATCAGCGCTCAGCGCCGCCGGCGCCTGCTTCCCATTGGTGGGCTGTGCCCCGCCCCTCGCGCAGGAACCATAAAGGCGGTGAGGGGGCGGGGCCCGGGGCTGAGGGGGCGGGGCGGCGGCGGCTTAGCCCGCGAAGGCGACGGCGGCTGGAGCGCTGGAACGGCGGCGCCTGGAGCGGGATGGGACGGAGCGCGGCGTCAGGTGGGTGCGGGGCTCCGCTCTAGCCCCTCGTAGCTACGGTGCAGGGAGGGTAGGAGGGCGGGGGGCCGCGCTCAGAGGGTCCTTTCCCGTCCTGCGAGGAGCGCGGAGGGGGAGCAGTCGCTTTTTAGCGGTCTCCAGCCCGCGGGGATAATCTCGGCGCTGCCCTGCGGGAGCCCCCTTTCTCCTCCCGGCCGCGGCGGGAGCTGCTGGCTGTGCTCCGCTGGCCCGGGCTGAGCTGCCCGTCCTCGGGCCCTCTCGCCTCAGCTTTGTTCCGAGTCCTCCGCCGGCCTCGGCCCCTCGCCCGTCCCCGGAGCCGCGGGGCGCGCTCCCCTTCCCCCCGCGCTCTCGAGGGGAGGCTCCGGAGCCCTCCGTGCTGGGGTCGGGGACGGGCCCCCGCACTGTTCCCCGCGTTCCCCGCGGCGCTCCGGTGGGGCAGCGGGAGCACGGCGCCCATGCCCGGGGGCCGCCCTGGGGGGAGCTCGTTCCCCGCTCGTGTTCGCCCCCCGAGAGCGGCCCCCGGCACCGCTGAGGCTTTCTGATGTCCGGCGCTCTTCAAGTATTTAAGAAATAATCGTCTTTGGCTTTGAAGGGCGCTGGGAGTCCTTGACAGCTCGGGAACTTTTAAACCCTTCCCCGCCCCACCAAATTTGTTTGGTTTTTTGTTTTTTCTTTTTTTTTTTTTAAATTGGTTTTTTTCCTACTTGACTCTTTAGTAAATGTGTCGCTGAGAAGAAGCCTGGAGTCTGAGTGCAGGCGTGTGAAGACAGGGATTTATCTCAACTGCTCAATGTCTAACACAGAACTAAAAGCAGTTTAAAAATGCTTTGTTTATTCTCTTTCTTTCCGATATAGTTCAGTATTCGCTGCAGATAACAGGAGAAGGGCTGATAGGTTTAGGTTGAGCGGTAATCAGTGAAGTGGGGCCAGTACTTGTGTGATTGGATACAGTTGTGAGATTCCTTGATAGAAGACACTTCAAAGCACAAATGGTGTAGTGTGTGTGATGTCTGTGCAGGAATAGGAAAAAGCTGTAGTTCTTTGTGCCTCTTTTGTAAACTGCAGCGAATGAGGGGACAGTGTTCCTATTAGAAAAAGATGAGGCAAATTATGAAAGCAGCCAGAAACTTTATGAAACTTTAAATCTGGGGATGAGGAGGTTGTTTTTTCTTGCCTATCATGCAAGACTGGCCTTCTTTTTAAAACTTGACATAGGGAATCAAAAAATATTACATTTAGAGGAGACAGACTGTTGTTTCGACTTTGGCTGATACAGTATTTTCCATAAACTAATAGCGAGTGTACTTGAGGAGAGGAATGAAGTAATGGAATAAGGCTGCAGTTCTTATCCTCCAGCAGGCTGTCCCACACTACAGCGCTCTGTAGTTCAGATGTGAAGTTATGTGGCCTCTAGTATATAGAGGCTGACATGATGCAAAATAATTATGCTGCACTAAAGTGCTCAAGCTGGAAATCTGTGCAAGTTACTGGTTACAGTGCTTGCAGACTTCAGTGATTGAAGATGAAACTCTGTGTTTGAGCAGTGGAACTGAGCTTTGACAGTTGTTATGCTACAGCTTTTTGCCTTTTAAGTTCTCATCAGAAGAAAATATGCTAAGATGGAAGGACAGTTATCTGCCTGCGGGCCCCAAGTCATTCTTAGTAAGAATTAGGATGTTTTATCTGTAGCTATTCATTTGAGACTAGGACCATACTATGTTTCCCTTAAGTGATGTGGAAACTTGATTTGTTTCCAGCTGAATTCTGGGGATGAGTTGTGCAAAGCAAACTTTTTCTGTTCCTTGCTGAAGATTAGTTTTGTGTTTATATAGCTAGAGGCAGTATGAATGGAGTTATTAGGCAGTGAACACAGAGGTTTTGTTGTAATGAAATAATGTATAATTGAGCCAGTCCTCTTCTCGTTTTCCATGGCTGTTTTCCTCAAATAAAGAGAAAATAGAAAACATTTTTTTATCAGATACTAAAACAATAGTCTTGATTATACTCAATAGTTACAGAAATTGAATAGTCTTTGTTAATCTTCCTATTTGTCCATGGAAGTATTAAAAATTACTTTACATGCCAGAAATAGAATTGCTTGTGCTTTAAAAAGGTATTTTCATAGCAGAAATAAGTTACTGTGGCTTCATGTTTGATCGATATGGTATAACACATGTGACATTTCATAGTTAATAACAACATAAACCTGTTTTGTTCCTCAGTATATGCTTTATCTGTAAAACATGTCTCAAAGGATCATGATTTTACGAGTAGCAATATAAACTCCTTGTATGTCAGCTACTCTTTAGTGTGCCTACTTTAGCTCAGGTTTATTTACTTTACTCTTCAGTGAGAAGGTACATGCCATTTACTTGTCTGAAACAAGAATAGCACTGTCTGTGGGCAGTATTGCTGTATGGAGGAAAGGGAAAGAAAAGCCATCATCTGACAGATGATAGAGTGTTTTGAAGTGTCTTATACAGCGATGAGAAAGACAAGGTTTCTGGAAAGCTAACCAAACCAAAGAGGATACTTTGGTGAAGAATCCAGAAGAGCTGATGGTGTTTCCATCACTGTATCAGTGTGACCTGGACATGAATTAGCTTTCATGCCTCTGCAAGTCTTTGTTTTTTGATTAAACTTCCTGCATGAACAGTCACATATTAGTGTACTCTTTGTTCTTTTGAGCAGTCTCAGAGCACTCTCTTCCAGAGTTCTCTTGACTGCTTTGTGTGCGGAAGAAGCAAAAAATACTGCTGCAGGTAATTTCAGTCTGCTCTTGCAGGCCTGTCTTTAGCTGATGTGTACTTAATGTTGTCTTGTAACTGCACTGCAATCTTGTATAATACAACTCTTCTTGGACTTTTCAGTTCAAATGGGATGTGTTATGACTTCTGGTTCATGTGTGGCTTCAGTTAAAATTATTAGACAAGCTGTGGTCATTACTTTTGACTTGTTTTTCTTTTATTTTTGCTTGCATAGGATCCTGAGCACAGGCAGTGTATCACATGAATTACACTGCTGGTGTAAGTTACTGACCAGGCTGTGTGTTATGATACTAAGTTTTGTTAATTATCTCCATAGCAGAAGTACATTAGCATACAGTACTGATGGGGAGCAATTGGTCTTGTCAGGCTAATTTCTTATTACTCTAATCTTAATGGCATGCAGTAGATGGAGATCATTGATAGGATCAGATTACAAATGTCTTCCAGTGTAGGATGTAGCTGTACTTTGCCTTTGGAAGCTTCCCCGTACAAGGAGTATGACGAATTGCAGGCTGTCGCTGCTTATTCTCTTAAAAGGAAAGGTGGAGGTAGAGGGTGACTATTAACTTCTCCATATGGAAGGCTCACATACAGAATACCTGTAATCTAAGAAAAATTAGTGTCTTGACTGAGAATTAAATCAAAGCATCTCGAGCCTTAGCTCTAGCAGAGCTGCCATAGCACTTACATTCTCTCCTGAGAACTTAGTCTGCCTTTAGAGGTAAAAATGACAATAATCTCAAGTTACACTAGAATTATTTGTTACAGTTTAACCAAATGTTTTCCTTCACATTTAACTATTATTTAGATCCAAGTCAGCCTTTGATAAAAGTTGTTGAAATGTTGCATTGGGTTCTTTTCCTAACTGGTGAAGCACAGTTGTTTTTCACCCCTCTTTTGAAAATTCAGATAACTGAAATATTTTTAGCTACTGATGGATGTAATTTCTTCTGCCACAAGAAGAATCAAAATGCTTGGGAAGAAATTAAGAAATTTTTACAAACAGCTGGAGATCAAAATGGCAGCCTTTATGCTGATTTAAGCTGCAGACTTGGAGCTTATCTTTGATTTCTTCATTTTTGGCAGGGGAGGTAGCTGGAGAATTGTTTTGAAGGCTTCTAAGTATGGTAAATATTTGTTGGATTTGCTGGTTTTTATTTGTGTTAAGGATTTATAGGTGTCTGGAATTTCAACATGCTGTGAATTAGTTTTTCCTTTCACATACTAAAATATTCTGCTATGGAACTGATGGTGTTTTCTGCATCTAGCAATGACCCAGAATATATGGGGATTTTTTTTTTTTGTGGACCTCTCAATTCAGTAGAATTTTAGTTAATCCTTCAAAATTCTTGGAGCCCCTTCCTATCTAAAAAACATAATCTCTTTATTCTAACAGAGATTGGGTAGCCAAATTCAGTGATAGGGGAGAGCATGTGTTTGTACTGAATGTAAAGCATAGTATGCCACATTTATTAAATATATTGGTTTTGAGTATTCATTATACTCGTGCCACTTTCATGCTTGAACTGATTTACATTTTCAAGTGTATGTTTTAGAAGCAGAGAAATTGAAATTGTTATTCAGTACTTCAGCTGATGGATCCCAGATTTCTTTGGCATATTCACAGTGGCAAACTACTTTGCTCATAACAAGTAATAGTTGGAGAGCTTGTGTATGTAATGGGTGATGCATAATACATCAAAACATGTTAGTAGTATCCAGTCAACGTTGGAATTGATTTCTTGATGTTGGTTTTGAAATCCTATAGTTGAAAAGATCAGTATCAAGTGATGCTGAGTGAGGAAAGCCATTCATTTACTATGGGCTTGGTGGTGTTGTAACAGAGCAACAGGCAGCTGTGGAGACTAATGTGCTGGAAGACAAGGCCTGCAAAGCTTGTTTTATTTTGAGACTTCAAACAGTCTTTGGAAACACTTCTTCAAGAAGTTCTTCTGCCTCATTACATGTGAATGGATAAATGAAGTTTGAACTTGTGAATTAAAATGGGGCTTTAGTGGCAGTGTGGCTTTTTAGTTTGTTTTTCTGCAGCAGTTAGGTCTTCTGATCAGTTTTCTATAGAATGTTGAAATTTTCTGGAACTTATATCAGCACAGATTGACTGCAGAGTTGTTTCCTGGGAAAGTAGTGTTTTTCTTTATAAAGCTTGGCTGCTGCTTTGAATGCTTAAACAGCTGCAAACATGGACAAGAATACATCACTTCAAGTGAAGCCTTT